TTTTTTGAAAGTTCATTATTGGTATATAAAAATGCGACCAATTTCTGAATATTAATTTTGTATCCTGCTACTTTACTAAATTTATTGATCAGTTTTAACAATTCTTAGTGGACTCTTTAGGGTACTCTCTATATAGTATATATCATCTGCAAATAATGACAGTTTTACTTTTTCCTTTCTAATTTAGATGCCTTTTATTTCTTTTTCTTATCTGATTGTTGTGGTTAGGACATCTAATACTATGTTGACCAAAGATGATGAAAATGGGCATCCTCGTCTTGTGCATGATCTTAAGGAAAAATGCTTTTAGCTTTTTCCCATTGAGTATGATGTTAACTGTGGGTTTGTCATATATGACCTTTATTTTATTGAGATATGCTTCCTCTATGCCCATTTTGCTGAAAGTTTTTATCATAAAAGGATGCTAACTTCTCTCAAACACTTTTTCTGCATCTATTGATATGATCGTGTGATTTTCATCTTTCAGTTTGTTAATGTGATGCATCACATTTTTTGATTTGTAAATATTAAACCAGCCTTGCTTCCCAGGGATAAATTCTGCTTGATCATGTTGTATGATCTTTTTAATATATTGCTGAATTTGGCTTGCTAATATTTTGTTGAAGATTTTTTCATCTATATTTATCCAGGATATTGGCCTATAGTTTTCTTTTTTGTAATGTCTTTGTATGGTTTTGAAATCAGAATAATGGTGACCTCATAAAAAGAATTAGGGAGCTTTCTCACCTCTTGAATTTTTCTGATAGTTTGAGAAGAATATGTGTTAATTCTTCTTTGAATGTTTGATAAATTCTCCTATAAAGCCATCCAGACCAGGACTTTTGTTTGTTGGGAGGTTTTTGATTACTGATTCAATTTCATTAGTAGTAATTGGTATGTTTTGATTTTCTGTTTCTTCTTTATTCAGTCTTGGATGATTGTATGTTTCTAGGAATTTATTCATTTCTTCCAGATTGTACAGTTTGTTAGCATATAATTACACATAATTGTTTATTTCTTCTTCAACAGTGTTGAATTATTCAATTTGAACACTCAAGGAAAAAATTTCAATGTCACATTGCAAGAATTTTACCTTTATGTTTTGAGGTTCTGTTAGTTTTGTGGCATATTTATGTCATTGCTTGCATTCTTATTTCAGAGTTCAATATAAAAACTGAACAAATAGTGTCATGTTGTATGAATGTGTTGAAATAAAAAAATCTCTATCTTATTAGTGGTGAAACAACATTTGCTCTGTTATTCTTTTATACTTTATCTTTATTACTACTTCCGGGTTTAGCTTATTATCTTTAAAGAGAAAATCAGGTAATAAAGTTACATTTTGTGTGACATTAAGTACCTCTTTTTTTATGGTTATCATTTTAAAATCAAGTTTATTGAGATGACATCAGTTAATAAAATTATATAGGTTTCAAGTGTACGATTCTATAATATGTCATCTGTATATTGCATTGTGTATTCACCACCCAAAGTCTGATAATCTCTTTTTGTCACCATATATCTGACTCCCTTTACCCTTTTCTATCTCTCTACCCCTCTTTCCTTCTGGAAACCACTATACTGTTGTCTGCATCTATGAGTTTTTGTTTGTTTGTCTTGTTAGTTTGTTGCGCTTTATCAGTATAAACTTTATAATATTTGCTGGCAAAAATATTTTTTACTACACCTTTCAGAGAAAAAATTAACTGCATTTACAATTCTGGACATTGGTACTAAGTGATAGTAGTGTACAAGAAGTCCACCTGGAAGAATATTTGACTGAGACTAACATGTCTTCCCATATTTATAAGAAATAAAAATATAATACTATTAAAATACTTGAACTGGCACAGAAATTAAACATCTATTAACTTAATTAGTGTTTTTAAACCAAGCTTTAAAAAGAGAAAGTATTGGTTTTTTTTAATGAAATTTTGGATAGGTATACATTCACAAGTTCAAAAATATAAAAAATAAAATAAACAATGAAAAGTTTTTCTCCCATGCCTGTCCTCCAACCCTTACAGGTAACTAATTCTAGAGTTTCTTGGGTATCCTTCCAGAGTTTCTCCATGTAAATACAAATAGATACAAATATATATTCTTATTCCTACTTGTTTTAAGAACACAAAACTTTAGAATTTCTGAATTCTTCTTTATATAGTTGAATAGTATTTCATTGTATGAATGTTATATAAAATATTTAACCTGTCCCCTACTGATGGATATTTTGTGCTTTATGTTATGCTATGACAACCAGTGCTATAGTGAATACCATACTCTTGCATAATCCCACATATAGGATAATCCCTAGAAGTGGAATTGTTGGGTCTAAGTTATATACATTTGCAATTTTAATAGATATTACCAAATTGGCCTCTACAGAATTTGTACCAATTTGTACTGTACGGTCTCCAAAATGGGTCTGTTTCCCACACACAGCCTTGCCAAGAGAGAGCATGATCAGACTTTGGAATCTTTTTAGATCTGAGTGATTGAACACAATCTCAAAGAACTTGAATTTACATTTCTCTTAGATGAGTGAGAGTGCCTATCTTCTATGTTTAAGGGCTTTTTATATTTTTATATTTGCTTTCCTGTGGAGAAAATGCAAAGGCCAGCAAATATAACAATCCATACACATAAATAGGGTTTCGTTATTGATATTACTGCTTGTTTTTTACCTTTATGCTCTACATGTTTTTCTTTCATTTGAAAGAAAATGAAATATAGTTGTTTCTTCAACTATAGTTCCTGGCCATACCTCTGAAGAGAAGTTGCTGGCAGTGGAGAGGGAGGGCCAGTACTGGAATGTCTGCTTTTCTCTTTCTCCCTTTGCCATTTACTCCTGGGGAAATATCTGTAGACCGGAGTGATGAAAAGAGAAATTTAATAAATTCTTTTTCTGAGACTAATTAAGGCTTCAAAAAGATAGATAACCACTTGGGATAATATAGTCATATTAAAACTTAGGAAATGGTCAGTAATATTGCAGCCTCTGAACATGGAACCCCCAAAAGCACTGGCCCTTTGAACTTGGTGAGTTTCAGTGTAATGTGCATAGGAAAACCTAGAATATACAGCTGAAAAGAAATTTAAAAATGCTTTTCTGCATTCTTTGCCAATTTGGAGCTTTAGGCTCAGGTTTGATAAATTTTAATGAGACGTTGCCATTGGCATGCACATAAAAGTGAAGCAAAGATGTATGAAAAGATGTTCTCCTTAGCTTTAAGATTATGTTCTGCATATGGAGATGGTGGTAACTAAATTTGTAAATATCAGGCAGTGGCATTTTAGAGCAAGAAGGAACTGCAGATGCCATATTTTCCAACTCCCTTACTCTACAGATGAGGAAACTCAGGCTAGAACAGTTTAAATGACCTGTGCAAGTTCCTCCAGCTAATTAATGGCAGTGTTAGAGTTTAGGTAGGTCCTTTCATTACTGGTCCCTGTCCTTCCTGAAATTTATAGGACTTCCCTCAAACACACATGCTGAGGTTTTGCCATTGCCAAGGATTCTGTGCTCTGAAATAGCCCCATGTCACAAATTCTCTCCCACTTGGGATTCCCTGCCCCACAATTGTAAGACAGTTAACTGAAGCTAACTGGGTCTGGGGCCACTCTGTTAGAACAAAACTGACTTACATGGGCTTGAACTTCTAATCTTGATCTTATCAATATTTTGTCCTGTTTATTCAGACTTTCCATAAGTAGGAAGTTTTTTAAAAAATGTTGTATTGTGAGCAAAAATCAAACTTTTATTTGAACTACCTTTGAAAGTTTTTCTGAAGCTTTAATTATGTTCCTTTTGTTTTGGATGTAATATCAGATTCTCTCCAATTTTCCTAAATGTTTGAAAATATTTTTTATACTCTCTGTCTTCTGTTGTGATAAAAAACATCAGTGTTGGCCATGCCTACGGGCTTAGTGAAGTGATCTGAGGAGCTCTCTGGACCCCAGTCCTTTGTCCAAGAAGTATATGGTTAAAAGAACAAAGCAAATTTCATGAAAACTAGTATAATGTGATTCCATGTTAATAGTAAGTCTCTGCTCCAACGACCACTTACTTTTTCAAATTATACATGTGTTCAGGCTACAAAGACTGCAGACATGCATGACTGTGTTGGCAAATACACATATTGCCTTAACCACACTGAAGGCCGGTTAACATAATTGTATTTCAGATACAGTTTGTCATTGATGCTGGGTGGCATGGGGCTTAAAACAAAAACAGGATGAGCCCAGAGCACAGAAGTGGAAAATTAGGTGGGTGTGTGGGTATGGACTTGGAAATGGAAAAATGTACTTTCTTCCCTTGGGATGTGGCCTGCGTTCATTAATGTTGACCTTTCTCTTCTCTATCCCTGTAAGCTGACGTTGACACCAAGGCTTACTGAGAAACTAAATAGACCTCGCTATCCAGGGATAAGGATAAGACCACCCAATTCAGTTTTGCTTTGGCCAGAACCACATGTTTAATCTTTACCATGAGTTCAAACTATTCTTGTTCTTAGGAACATGGACTTCAACAATTAAAGTCAACACATGCTTCCATTAAACCACTGTTTCCACCTCCAAATGGTTATAAATATGTAGCATAATCTATGGGGGAGGGGTTGGAATGGATGATAGTTTATGCTAATGGCACTCTAGAAACCAATATTCTCTACTCAAAATGACATGGACAAATTCTACTCAATATCTCCTGGGTTCCATTAGTTTTTCTAAGTAAATGTTTCTGGGGAAAATAATTTCTGTTTTTATTCCAGCTGTGCAGCAGATACAGTGGTGATGGATTGCAAGTGCAAAGAGTAAGACAAAACTCCGGCATACAAAGGACAATGACAACCAGAAAGCTTCAGCCAGATCCTGCCCTTTCTTTGAAAGGAACTGGATCCTAGGAAGTGAAGGCGTTCAAATTTTAGTCCTCTGCCTCCCTCTACTGTTCATCTTAGGAAGTTTTTGTTGTTTT